ATAAAGGTCAAGGGTCTGATCTGACGGTCGTAAAGATCCATCTGAGACCCTGGTGGGGTAGCTCAGTTGGTGAACCAATCAGCTTTGGATCTTTGTGGAATGGGAGAGGGGGAACAAACCTTTTAAGTGCTGAGACCAGTACTCTGTGTTCTCCACATCCCTGTTCAAATTGGTGATCTGCACTCAACAAACGCTCTGCTTAACTTACAGTCAGAGCCATTTCTCAGGCTTGGGCAGTGCAGACATGGAGTTGGGCCTTGGAAGGTAGGAAGCAGTCTTTTACAAAAAGGTGATTGGAGGGTTGAGGGAGGTGGTTCAGAAAGGAGGACCAGCATGGACCTGCAGTTGGACATGCAAGTGTTTCTAGATGCCTCAGGGCAGGGGATAGATCGCGTGGGGGACACAGGCAGAGTGGGTGGGGGCATCTGAGGAGCTATAAAGGTCAAGGGTCTGATCTGACGGTCGTAAAGATCCATCTGAGGCCCTGGTGGGGTAGCTCAGTTGGTTAGAGCATCCTCCTGATATGCCAAGGTTGTGGGTTCATCCCCAGTCAGGGCACATGCAAGAATCAGCCAATGAATGCATAAACCAGTGGAACGACAAATCAGTGTTTCCCTCTCTCCCTTCCTCTCTCTAAAAATAATAATAATAACATCCCACTGAGACCACCTGTGGGGTGGTTGGAGGTGGGATGAGCAATAGAGCTCCCTTGGGCTCCTGGACCCCCAAGTTTGCCTACACATGGGACAGGCCAGAGTGAGGGAGGGGAGGCTGCGCACACCTTGGAGTACGTGGATAACTACCTGGCTCCCTCTGGTGTAACAAAATTGCTGAGTCAAGAAATAAGCCCATTTAAAAGAGGAACGGCATAGGACCCCAGCATTCAAGATTCCTAACTGCTTCTTCTTTTATTCTTTACTAGAGGCCCGGTGCACAAAAATTTGTGCACTTGGCAGAGCGGGGGGAAAAGGGGGATCCCTCAGCCCGGCCTGTGCCCTCTCGCAGTCTGAGACCCCTCGGGGGATGACAACCTGCTGGCTTAGGCCCGCTCCCCGGGGGATTGGGCCTAAGATGGCAATCAGACATCCCTCTGGCAGCCCGGGAGCCCTTGGGGGATGTCCACTTGCCAGTGGGGAGCAGGCCTAAGCTGCAGTCTGACATCCTTAGTGCTGCTGAGGAGGCAGGAGAGGCTCCCACCACCACTGCTGTACTGGCAGCGTCAGCCTGGCTTGTGGCTGAGCAGAGCTCCCCCTGTGGGAGCGCACTGACCTCCAGGGGGCAGCGCCTACATTGAGCGTCTGCCCCCTGGTGGTCAGTGTGTGTCATAGTGACCAGTCATTCCCAGTCATTCTGCTGTTAGGGTCAATTTGCATATTACCCTTTTATTATATAGGATAGAGGCCTGGTGCATGGGTGGGGGCCGGCTG